GAATATAGCTTAGAAAGGTTCAGTGAGTCGTCCAGTGTCATATCAGTCATTGGAAAGGGTGGGACAGGAAACCTTTACTATAACAATGCAAGTATTTTCAGACCCTTTTTCTATTCTAAGCTGATATTCTCTGTTTAGAAAGTGTTTTTTAAAAAAGTTTTCAGAACACATGGTGTCTTAGCTGCTTTCTTTGTTGATGGGACAAAATACCCAGCACCCACAAATTGAAGGAGGAGAGGTTTTTTGGCTCACAGTGTGTAGAGGTTTCAGTCCACAGTCCACGGGCTCCAAGGCAGGGCGGCGTGGCTGTGGGGCCTGGTGGAGGAAAGCTGCTCGTGGCATGGCTCACAGGAAGCAGCGGAAAAAGGGAGGAACTGGGCAAGGAGCTAACCCCTTTCAGACCACGCGCGCGCCCAGGTACCTGCCTCTGCTGACCAGGCCCACCTGCTCACAGCACTGGCCATGATGCTCCCGTAATCTGATCACCTTCCAAACACAGGACTGGTTAGATCTAAACCATACCGTACTGACTAGACTGATCAATATCATCGTTATCTCCCTCATACTCTGTATAGCTGATCATTCTCATTTCCTTTTGTGGCTGCCTGACATATTTAGGGTCATTACGGGGCACTTCCTGCAGCCAGTTTTCCTCTGAACTCTTCTTTCTTAAAGATTGGCTCCCACTCCCTTTTAAAAGTAGTAATGATCAATGTTCATAAAATAGATGTTCACAATTATTGAAAAACAAAGAAGGTTTTCCTCTGGAAATTTCAACAGGAGCATCTTTGCTAACCTTCTTGTTTATAGAGAATTTTATATGTAGAAAAGGAATTGCCATATAAGTTCATATTTACGTGACACCAGTCAGATACGATGTCTGTGATCACAGATCATCATTTTTCTTCATATATATGTACTTCTACCACCACCCTTCAGAACTTTTTCCCGTATAGATACATTCCTTTCTTACATTCCTTCAAGTCCACATCTTTCAACCCACATCCCACCTATTGTGTAAAACCCCTTTTTGATTGCTCCCAACAGAAATGCCATTCTTCTTGTCCGAATTCACGTGGCAAACTGATTGGTGGCTAACCTGACATTACCTTTTTGATGTCCCTTTTAATGTTCTATACAGTTGTCACTCAAGCCTTTTCTAGTAGCTCCTTTTTTCAGCTTGTCCCCCCAGCTAGACTGTGAACTTCCTGAGGGCAGGTACGCCCACGCCTCTAGCGTCTTGTGGCTTTGCTAGCACTAGCACAGTGGTGTAGATAATTGATGCTCAATGAATACTTGTTTTGTTGCAGGCTTCCCAAAAGTGAGTAAATAAGCCCAATAGGTCTGGATCATCTATAAGGTCCCAAAGTTCATCAGTCAACAAATATAAGTCAAATGGCTGGCCTAATGGAACCATCATTGTGTTAAATCTAAAGAGGAAAAAAAAATACAAGGCTTAGCACATTTTGTAGAGGATTTCAAAATGAATAGAGGCAGTAGCTACACCTGTGAGCCTCATAGAACAGAAAACAACTGTGTGTATGTATGTAAGGCAACACTGGATGACAGCTGCGAAGGGGCTAGCAGGGACGCGTCTTATCTGTTCCCTCAGCACCTGGAGGGGAGTGTGTAGCCTTCCTTGTTTTAGAGCTGCACGCCAGTCCTTCCTCGAATGGAAGCCTTTGGCAGGTGCTCCCTGCCCCTCGCAGAGCCCACAGGCTGCTGCCCAGCAGGACCTGTCAGGGTTCCCAAGCAGCTCTGGCTGCTGCTTGTTGGAGGGTTGGGTCCCTGCAGCAGATCAGGAGGCAGAGCCCGCCCCTCCTCCTCATGTAAGAAGGCCAGATCTGCACCAGGATCGCCTTCCAGAGCACCAGGAGCCTGCTAGAATGTCCCCATGTGTAGGATCCTGGGGTCTCGCTCCCAAGGGTACTGTTGGAGGCCATTTTGTGCCACACTTTAACAGCCCCCTTTCCTTTTACTCCCTGTGACCTTGTGTTCTAGCCGAGGCTCCCGATGCTTACACCCCACGTTTCCCACACCGCTCTTCTGTTCTGCTACCTGAAAGCTCCTTCTTGGTGACCACTCTCATTTATCTACATTGCCCAGGTTCCCAGTCGCTTTGTCTGCTACCACACCACCATGGTTTATGAGAATTTTAATGCAAAGGTCACCTCCGTTTTCTGCCTCTCCTGTCTGATGCATTACTTTTATAAGTGCACAAGATCATATATATGGAAATATCCTGTAAAATTTAATCTTCAATAAAAACATGATTGTATTCTATTAGTGTCTGATTAGAAATACAATACATGGTTACTTCTGATAATGCAGATGCCAGGGCCAAGGGTCTAACTCAGTGGCGGAGTACAGGCTCTGTGAGCCCCAGGTTCAATCCCAGCACCAGAAATAAACACACAAACAAAATTTTAAAGAAGAAAATGCAGAAAGCACAAAGAACAAAATAGCAATCCCTTCTGTATTATAGTTCCCTACTGCTGTTGTAACAAATTGCTACAAATTTCCTGGTTTAAAACTGTATGCCAAAAACTTTTAAAATCAGTGTTTACATTACAGTCAAATTTCAAAGACACGAGGCAATTAAGAAAAGAGGCAAACGTGCCAACAAACGTGAAAAAGTCACGCATTATAAGAAAGAAATACTGAGTAAAATCATGTAGCATTTTAAAAAATCTGTTAAACAGGCAAAAACAAGAGGTTACTACTATACCAGTCTCTGTTATAGTAGGCATGCCAGCTACAAAATAAATCAAAGTGCTTTCTGAGGTGATACTACTTACAAAGTGACTAGAGGCCATGCCTGTGACTTGTCTCTATTCCATCCGGAGAACAAACTGTTTCTCTTGCTCATGGGATATGGTTACTTGGCATGGTCACCTGAAACTTCTCAGCTACAACTCAAACTGCCATGTTACAGGTATTAATGGGAAGGGACAAAGAGAACTCCTAGCATAAAGTCAGAGAATCTTGGGTTAATATTTATCTGTTTTACTCAACCAATGTCTGCCTTCCTCCAGAAACCTTAGTAACATTGCCCTCCATCAGCTCTAGAGCAGCTCATTCATTCAACAAATATTTACTGAACACTTCCTTTGTGTCCGGGTAAAGGTAAGTGCTAAGCGTATGATGAGGAACAAAAGCAGACATAGTGCATCCCTCGGGGAGCTTACAGACTGCAGAAGCAGATAATCATGTAAGCAAGTTTAAACCTGCAGCTGGGATGAGTGACAGAAAAGAGCCACATGATAATATGAGAATATAAAACAGTGCCATTTGACTTTATCAAAGAAATCAGTAAAGGCTTCCTTAAGCAAGTGAGGCCTGAGTTGAAATATGATGGTAAGGAAGAGGGGTTAACAAGGTCAAAAGAAGAGACAAGAGCTTTTCACCCAGAGGGGTGGCATGTGCAAAGGCCCGGTGGCAGAGGTAATGTGATGAATAAAACACTGTGGCTATGTGGGTGGATGAGAGAGAAACAGAGAGGGAGTTAGGTGAGTAAACTTGACCAGTACATGGTAGCAGCCAAGGGTAGCGCGGGTCCTGTCCCACAGAAAGCCAGATACCCCGGGAAAACCAGAGTTGTGTAAAGTTTTCTTGTACTGCTGTGTGCACGTCTTTCTATAATAAACTTATGGAAGAAGCACAAGTCCAAGACCCATGAATTTCACCCTTTTTCTCGAGATTATAGTTTGGGGAGGCAACCTCCCCAGCCCTCCTGTGCCTGCTTTCCTGCCACCTGGATCTTGCTTCAGGGCCCACCCCTCTGGTCTCCTGCACCTCAGGAAGATTTCTGAGTGTCCTTCAGTCTGTTCTTTACTTTCAGCCTGTAGGTTGGAGAACAGAATGCGAAACCAACAGAGGGCCAGGGAAGGCAACTGAAAAATGGTTGTTGAACAAGCTAAAAACTACCCGAAACCTAAACTCCTGCTTTGAAACCATCATCCAATGAAATGGAGAGCAATCAAACAGGATAATGACTGCAGAACAAGGAAGGTTTATTTACACTGCTCGACAGCCAGAGGATACAGAGAGGCAGCTAAAAGGCCATTTCATCCTTCAAACAGTCCTAATGCCCACTACAAAAAGGGGAGAAACCGAACAGTTCAGAAAATGAGTCCATGGAGTAGTCGTGAGTGTTGGCCTAATCAGTTTGGTGGGGAGGAGCAAAGCAAAAATAGCTAGAATTGTTTAGCCAGAATATTATACATCAGTGTCATACGTGTGCACGTGAAGATGTTACATGTGTAACCCTGATGAGTAAACGCCCCTGCAGAATAATCATATGCAGATGTTATAATCTGTGAAATGCTTCAGACATGCAGTAGTGAAACCAGCTATTATTTCTGAGTTCGTCCATTGCAGGAGAGAAGTATAATAAATGGAAAGGAACCCAGCCCCCAAAGAGAACACGGATGCCCTCATCTGTCCTCGCATGGAGGAAGAGCTGGGCTTTCAGTGCGGAGAACCCAGGGCTGCTCATGGGGTTGGCACCACTGTATTTCATAAGCAGGATCTCATAGTTCCGACATGTTTCCCAGTACACTTTTTAAAAGGCAAAATTGATCACCAAAATTGCTGATATGCTATGATAAGAAACAGAAATGATTCAACTCTTTTCTAGAGGTTGATTTTCTGTTTATGAACAGGTTTCAGACAGGTTCAGTCCCTAGATGTGTAAAATCACTTCAGGGTAAGAGACAGATGTAGAACTAAGGGACAGAACAGAGGGCCAGGCAGCAGGGCGATGTGGCCCGGGTTTCAGTCCGTTACCCTCTAGCTACACCTGACTGAGGTCACCCGGACTCTGTATGCTCAGACGTAAAGCCTTAGTCTCATGTGTGTTGGCATGGACTGCATAGCTGGAGACAGCTCATCAGAGCGCAGAGAGTTCTAGAAGCCCCTTCATATTGTCCACTGCGTGGATGTAGAAGATAGGGAACCATTACAGATTTTAATATTTTCCTGGCGTCAGTTCAACTTACCTGCTGTTCCAAGGTCCTTGGATCAATGAAAGTCACCAAATCTATAGAAAGGTAACCAACCACGTCTCTCACTTGGCAGGCCTTTCCGATTTGGAGGCAGAGAGAACTGAGAACTTGAGGGTCCACTGAGGCCTGGGGCACGGTGGTACCAGAAGAAATGAAGGGGCCTTCTGCATGGAACTGGTCCCCTGTTGACAGCACCTGGATCTCTCCACTGGGCTCAATGAGCATATCTACTGTCAGGTTGGTGACACTGTCTGCTGGCGGGAAGGCTTCGATCACGCCCCCTGGTAGGAAAAGCATGGAGTGGATGGAAAGACACAGTCACAGGAATTGCACCCATTTAGAGCAGGAGGAAATGGCTTAGGCTCTGGCAGATGGACTTTGGTCTCAGATCCTGCATCTGGCAGATCTTGGGAGACTTTGAACAAGTACTTTCACTCTCTGAACCTCTTTTTCTTCATCTGTAAAATGGGTTTAATAAATCTACCTCAGCAGGTTGCTGTGAACCTTAGAGAAGCTGTTTATATATTTAGCCCAGTGCTTGCGATGTAGTAGGGCTCAGTGAATGGTAGTTTTGATTCTGAACACAGTGATGAAGATACTGTAAATATGATGGCTGTGCCCTCTCATTACACGAATGACAGACCCGTGTCGAATCCTCACGGTCCACTGTTTGTATTTTGATGACCAGTGTGGCCGAATGTTCAAGTGCATTGCTCTTCTAAAGTTTGACAGGCATTAAGAACACTGTTAAGCTAGCCGAGGGATTCCTATAAAAAGCCAGTTGTAAGTACATAGGGCCAGAGGCGTTGCAATTTTTGAGGAACAGGGATGCTTTCTCCTTGCTGATGAGAGCGTTAAAATTTGTCATATTTTACCTTTTGTTATGAATGCCAGAATAAAGTAAACAGCATTTTGCAGGCTAATTTTGGGACTAGGTCAGAGATGACCCACATCGCTCTCTGACTTTTCTGTTTTTAGGCCCAACTCATAAAAATTACTGTATATGTGCCTTTTATAGAAAATTATTTAAAATATTGTGTGTAAAGAGTTAGAGAACCTTATTTAAAAGTAAAAACGACGTGGTGCTTCCTTGACGGAGCGGCCTCTAGAACCTGCCAGCATTAAGATAAACTTGCCCTGTATTTCACAGATTTTGTGTGGAAATTCCTCTCCTATCCGTAGGGATAAGCCACAGGCTTAGACTGGCATATATGGTTACATTCTGAGCTTATCGCAGTTATCAAAGGCAGTCATCTACCACTTCAAACAAAAGGTACTTTTCTTAAATGTCTATAAATTTGGTCAGATGTGGCCCTGGTGAATGTCAGATTTCAGCAGGAAACTGTTTTGGGAGGGCACCCTTTCCATCTCTAGCTCATCCACTTGGCTAGTTCAAGGTGATCTTTCCTCAGTGAATTCTGTGCCCAAGTCCCAGTTGTTGGAGTTTAGCAACAGCAAAACTAAAAACCCTCATGAGTCTCTGATTCAGTCTGCTTGGTATCCTTAGTTGTCACTGTGTTTTTGGAAGGTAATGCTTCAGTGAAAACATATTATTTTTTTTAATTTATCAGGTTACTTTAGATATTGTATTTTGAAGAAGCTTATTTGTATTGCCTTCTCATCCTGACTATACCTTTTTTTCACTGTTAATTTTTTCCTTTCAAAGGGAAAAATTCCCCTTAAAATGTATAGCTTTGGATATCATCTATGACAACGGAGAAGTCAACTTGACAGCACATTTTGTGGCTTTAAGCACAATAATCCCTTTTTCATTATTCTTGTTAGATGTCTGACATGCAGTCCCTTGCTTAAATAATTCATTTATAAGGCATTTGCCATGCCCTGGCCGACCAGTATATTCTAGAGCCAAGGAGCCTGTCCTCTCTGGTCTGGCCCTCTCTCACACACACTGAGCTAAGATATTCTCCTTGATGGATATGCTTGCTGGCTCTGGCCAAGACTCCTGCAGCAACACATAGGTAGCCTTTAATAGGCTTGTCTACATGTGATCAGAGTGATTCAGGGTCCATTCAAGTTTTGTGCCCCCAGTTCTTCCTCTGTCAAACAAAGGTTATACCATACTATGGTTTAGATCTGGGGGATCCACCAAAAGCCTTATGTGACTGTTAAACTCAGACCAGACTCGCTGTTAGAAGTTGGGGCCTGGCTGCAGGTAGGTCACTGGGGACAGACCTGGAAGAGTACAGCTCCTTCTCTGGCTCCTCCCTTCTCTTTCAGCTCCCTGACTGCCATGATGGAGCAATCTTCCTTAGCCAGACTCCTCCACCATATTGTTTTTTCCCTTGAAGTCACCTCTGAAACCATAAGTCAGAATGAATCTGCAGGGGTCAGGAGTTTAGCTCAGCAGCATGAGTGCCTGCTTGGCAAATGTGAGATTTTAAATTTGATCCCTGGCACCAAAAAAAAAAAAAAAGAAAAGAAAAAGAAAAGAAAAGAAGAAGAAGGAGAAGAAGAGAAGAAGAAGGAGGAGGAGGAAGGGAGGGAGGAGGAGGAGGAGGAGAACCTCCCCTCTGTTACACTGCAAGCACTGAGTACTGTGTCGCAGAGATGAGAAAAGTGCCAAAGGCATCCTGGGGCCGACCTCATAGAACTGTTAGAAGGATTCGGTATATGTATACTTAGGACAATGCCTGGCACATGGTGAGCTCTGAGGGTGCTCAGTGTGTTTCCATCACTGTGCTACTATCATGGAGCTGTTGTCGGTGCCATCATCTGACATAACGTGATGATTTTGTGATTAGGTTTTCGGGCTAATATACCATTATTATCACTGGATAGCAGGGAGTAGAGTGAAGAAATATCTTTCCGGGTTCGTTGTCCTAACCCTCGCTCATGATTCACACAGGTGCCCATAGGTGCCTTACTCTTCCTGCAGAGGGAAGGCCAGGCCCATCGAAGCTGCACCCCGGCGGGGCCTGGAGATGAGCACCATTTGCTCTGCTCCTTCTTCGGTCCTGGGCCTTCAAGAGTTGCTATGAAATGAGGATGGGGTGGGGTGGGGGGAGGAAAGGCCCGGCGCTGGCTTTGTGCCTAGACTGCAGAGTGGATTCTTTCTTGGAAACGCTACCTTTCTTTCCTGGAAGTGAGGCTATCTCTGCACTTATGGAATCTGGAGGGGAACTATAGATTAAAGACATTTTTGTGTCAGACTCTTAGGTAGAAATCTTCACACGTGGATTCCATTGACTCCCCCGCTGGACTGCATGTGTAAGTGAACGACCAGCCTCTGAGGATCTAAGAATCTTGCTCAAGGTCATGGATGAGGTCCAGATCCACCCCTCTGGGGAGGTCTGGGGCAAACCTGCCTGGAATCTTGAGCTATGCCTGCCACACTTGCAATGCTGAGTTCCTGTTTCCTCTGAGGCTGAGTGCTAGGTAAATATCCAGGCAAAGTTTAGCAAAGAGAAAAAGGAGCTATAGCTGTTAGCACTTTTCTAAGCTAACACAAGTGATGCAAAATACTTAAATCAGTCTCAGGTTGACCCAAAACTAGAACCCGTGGTAGTGCAGACTGATCCTCGATAGAAACTTTACAGTCTTATTTACCTTGAATGAGAAATGTTTGGAGGAATTTCCTCCACGTTGGGAACCGTTTCTCATTGACTGGCTGCGCGTGCTGTGCTAAAATGCCCGCCAGCTCCTCGGAGATCTTCACCAAAGCTGGCTCCTGCAGAAACAAATTAAATAGAACCACAAGCAATTTTACTACAGAAATGAAAACTGCTTGTGGAGTGATTAAAAACCAGGCCTCCAACAGGCAAAAAAATGTGGTTACTGTTTACCCAGAGTCAGAAAGTCATTCTGAAAATTTTCTCTGTTTTCCCAGCCATTTCCATTTTCATATTTCAGAGTGATTTGGCTCCGTAAAAATTGCCATGAAATGTGCCTGTTGTCTCCAAAAGGCAAGTGTCTGCCTGACTGCTGGGAAACCAGGTCTCGGACCCACTGAGTCCCAGCCGGCGCGCTGTCTCTGCACACGTTCCTTCTTCCCACCACTTCCTCTGTTCCCTACTGCACTGACTAGGGAGCCCACTAGTTTGTTCCTAGTGCTTCAGACTGGAGCACTTTTATTCTAGTCTAGCCCTAAAAGGGCTGACTGTAGCAGAAGTAATGGAGTTGGCAAGGCCCTTCTCAGGCTCTGTGCACAATGTGTGTAGCAAACATAAATAAATTCCAGGTTTGGACTGGGTCTCATCCCTCAGGTAGAATCTCAGGTGTATGCAAAATTCCAAACTCTGAATGAAGCTCCAGATCCAAAACAGTGCTTGTCCTAGGCACTTCAGATAAGGGATAACCGACCTGTATGTTTGTGGTTTTGTGCAACCACTACCCCTGCCAATCATGGAATATTCTATCACCCCAAAAGGAAACCCTATCCCTATGAGCTATTGGCCCTCACCCCCATACCTTGGCAGCCACCAATCTGCTTCCTGACTTTAGAGTTGCCTATTATGGATTTTTTTTACATCAGTGAGCCATATAAAATGTGACTATTAGCTTCTATCACTTAGTATCATGATTTCACAGTACAGCATGTATCAGTGCTTCTTTCATTTTCATGACTGAGTAATATTTCACTGTGTGTATGGACCATGTTTTATTTATGTATTCATCTACTGTGGGATAGCTGAGTGTTGAGTGGCTGCTACCTTGTGAGGATGTGAAGGTGCCCCTATGAACAACTGTGTATACAGCTTTGGGTTGAGTCCCCATTGACAACTTTTTGTGGGTGAATTGATAGTATGCATCAAACTATAACCACTTATGCTGCAGGGACATAGGGGATACCCATGAGGAGTGGTTTTATCACTGGTGAAACCCTCTTCCCCAGCCCTCTCTGTCAACAAGGGGAAGCAGGTCATATAGTGAAAGTCCTGAAGAACTGGCACAGGCTAGGATGTGAGTTCTGCTGAGTCACTGCCAGGCCTGTCATCTGTGACTTCTGCTTCCTGATTATCAATTCTGTCCTGGAAAAGAAAGTAAAGGTTTTGGCCAGTCTGAATCAGTTGTGGCTGGTGTGATCTGGTTCTGGCTGCTCTGAGCCAGTTCTATCTGGTTCCAGTCAGTCTGAGCCAGTTTCAGCTGGTGGGCTTTTCAGGGCATACTGAGCCTGTCCTGGCTGGTCTGAGTTGGCTTTGGCCAGTCTGAGCCCATTTGGGGTGGTCTGAGTGGTTTCAATACAGTCTGCTCTGAGTTCAAGTCACATGTACTTTAACAGTGCAGATTTCACAACCCCTAGATGACTGAGTCCTGCTCTGAGTGACCAGTTTGTGCCCACTGAGGTGGGAACGGGCACAGATGCCACCATACCAGGGCACACTGGTAATGCCTGGCTTTGAACCCAGTTTTGCTACTTCTATAATTACACTTATGTGTGGTAGTATATACTCATCATCCCAGTATTTGGGAGGCTGAGGCAAGAAGATTGCAAAGTTCAGCCCACCTTAGGCAACTTAAGAGACCTTGTCTCAACATAAAAATAGAAAACTCCAGTGAGTCCCTGTAGCTGAGTGTGAAGGCCCCAGTTTCCAAGATACCTGCAGAAAGTATACGTCTGCACTTGCCTGAACCATGCATCCTGGAAGTGTTTGTGTATCAAACTTGGTCCTTGACTCTGGGCACTCTTTTTTCCTATCAAAGTATCATTTTGAGAAAATGGATGGGGGGGGGTGTGGCTCAGTACTAGGGATTGAACTAAGGACCTTTAAACTCAACTGTATCTAACCCTTTCCAGTGTGTTTTTTTAAAAAAAACTTTGAGACATAGTTTTACTAAATTGCTGAGTTGCCCAGGTGGGGCTTGCGCATGTGATCTTTCTGACTCAGCTTCCCAGAGTGTTGGGACTATTGGCGGGCACCCAGTGCAGTGTGCAGGAGCAGATATTTGACTGACAAGAATTCAGGATATCTCCAGGGGAGCCACTGGGGTATTTGGTTTAATACTAAAGCTATCACAGAATTAGGTTTCCCAGCCAAACAAATTCTAAATCTGCATGTGCGTGTGCATGTGTGTGTATGTGTGTTGTATAAAGGATAGGAAAGGAAGAAGAATACAAATTGGAATACTCTCACTATCAGTCTCACCAAAACTTATTTTAGCAGCCTCTTTGTTGAATTGTCAGTGGTGTATTAAGTTAAATAGCCTACTGACCGCTAATCTCCCCCATCAGATGTCTTTTGATGGTGTTCAAAAGAAAACCAAGGGTCTCTTCTTAGTCTTTTAGCTAATGTCAGATAGAAAAGAAAACCAAAGGACTTGCCCAGGTGGTTCTGCTTTATAGACACTCCTGATAACCCTACAGAAATGGAGAGTGGCCTGAAGTCAAAAGGGCAAGACAGTGACCTGAAAAACAGCACGCTGTCGGCATGGAAAGAGGCCATATGGCCTATCTAGGACAGATGCCTCGTGTAGCAGAAGAGGGAAGGGTCCTGTAAGGCACACACAAACCTGCGCGAGCTCTCAGGCTGCCCTGACCCTGGGCAAGCGCTCTTTCCCAGGAGTAGAATGCAGCGTGCCACAGAAGGTGCCAGGGCCCTGAATCAGCTGGTGGCACAGAGATGGGGAGGAGGGAGGGGTTCCAAATGTGAAGGTGAGTTTAGAAGACTATCTGCTGTGGCAGGATACATTTTACTATTGCAGTCAGTTTTTAGGCTAAAAAATTAGCTTTTATTTTTTGAAAGTTTATCATGTGGTAAGTGTCCTACATTTATTATTTCACAACTATGTCTAGAATAAATATTTTCATCCTTATTTTATATCACACCACCAGGAAGTAGCAAAACTGGGTTTAAAGGCAGTGGGATCTGTGCCTGTTCCCACCTCAGTGGGCACACATTGGTCCCTCTGGACGGGACTCAGTCATCTTAGGTGATGTGAAATCTATACTGTTAAATTTATGAAGAACTGCTAAGAGCGGACATCTGTGGTTGGCTGTTAACAGGACTTCCCTTCAGGAGCTGCCTTCTCCACATTCTGCAGCATGCAAGCCTCACTGAACAGAATTCCACCTCATCTCCAAAGCGAGTCCCTGCCTACCAGTGCCAGGCCTCGACCAGTACAGTTGGTCCCGGTTAGATTCAGGACCCACAGAGGCCGGTAACATGTCAGCAGGAATTACTGGGACCTTCTGGAAGAAGCTTTTTGCTCTTTTGAGAATGCTACCGGGTGAGATGTTCTCTCTTCCTGTTGCATTGACAAGCTCCGGGGCTCTGGGCAGACATCTTGCACCCCCGAGGTAGCCAGTGTTAGAATGGAGCCCATGTTCTGCACAGACATAGGTGATTCCTTGGTGGTTCCACTAAGCCACCGGATTAAGCCTTCTGAAGCCAGAACAGTCTTTGAACTTCCAGATCACTGAGATACCAGTTTGATTCTCGTCTCTTTTTGTCTTAGCTCTGGGTGTTCAGCCCAGGGACCTTCGCACTGAACAGCCTTTTTTCTTTTTCTTTGAGTCAGGATCTTGTTAGTCACTACGTTGCCCAGCCTGAGCTTGAACCCATAATCTTCCTGCTTCAGCCTCCCAGAGTGCTGAGACTAGAGGTCTGCACCCTTAGGCCTGGCTCCTCCTCCTTTGTAAACTCATTTTGAGTTGAGTTTTCTGTTACTTAAAGCTTAAACATTTTAAATGGATAAAAAACGGACAGGCCAAATGGTCTCCTTAGGGTTCATGAGAGAAGTTTTAAGCTAATGCTCTGATCACCTTTTGCACTGATTACTTTCCTTCTGCAGTCAGTAGTGAGGTTTTCATTCATTTCTTTCCATGAAGATCATCAGAAATAGTCCCTCTTTAGAGTGCAAAAATATGCTGAGAGGATGAAGAAAAAGAAAAAAATGAAAACGTCTCCAGCAAGTCGTAAACTACTTTCCACACCTACTTAAAGTTTAAGGACTGCTTTAATACTCCATGTCTAATTGTTAATTGAGAATTTAAAAATCAAAAATGCCAAGTTTGCCTTCGATGAGATGGAAAATTATGCTGCTGTAGAAGGTAACATAATGTAAAACAGCTAACATTACCAAGGCACACAAATGTTTTTGGTATGTAAAATTGCTTTGTAAAATATTTGCTCCATCTGCTGAAAGCGGCGAAGACAATTTTCCCTTGATAGCTAATGGCCCATTTCGGCTGGGTGGCAAGTGATGCGCCGTGGTGGCGGCTCTCATTAAACAGAATGGTGGAGATGCGGTATATAATTCCATACTTACGTAGCATTATCGACTCGCTGCTTCTTGAGGAGTCCGTCCCTCATTAGCCAGGCCTTCACCTTGCACCAACACGCAGGCCTCGCCGTTGATTTGACTCCAGAAGTGTTCTGTCCAACTGAGGCACATATGTTGTACTTCCATGCCAAAGCTCAGCACAGCTGCTTTGCCCAACCACAAGCTCTGGAAAGGTTCATTCCCTTTCAACTTCCCAGCACTTACACTGCTGTTTCTTTTTTCCTCTCACCCCAGGAGGCCAGGGTTTTCTTTCTAGGCTTACCCTGTCGTGCTGCATGCTGGGGTTTCAATAGATAAAGATTAAGGGCGTCTTGAAATTCTTAATTGAACTTTGCACACACACATAGTGGCAGGAAAAATTCCCCCCCAGGACAAAACTGCCATTATAAAATCCTGACAAACAGTCCTTGGTTCATGGTGTATCTGTGATCTCTTTTTTTTTAAAGG